CGATTCCTCTGACCCCCTGGTAGCGGCTGCCCTGGTCCCCCTCCATGTACGGGAACACTCGTGCCTGATGCGTCCAGTAATAATCTTTAGACCCAAAGAAAAACACAGGGAATTCTCCAATCTCGTGCTTCATTTTCTGAATATTTGGGGGAACATTTTTGGGATGGCAAACTTCTGCCGGCCACCATCTATTATAAATATTAAAAACAGGATTCACAGACTCTTCAGAGAGAATGACAATAATTTCAATACTTCAAGAACTATAAAGTGAAACAAACACATTGGAACAAGGAAAGACATAAAAACAAATTATTCTATTTCTCACACCTGTAGTTCCCAAGTTTAACCCAAATAATATCTTGGAAGTGTAGCTTCTTCCCAGCCCTGCAATCATTGCAGAACCAGCTGCCGTCGGGCATCTCAATGTTCAGGCAGTCGGGATGGAAGGCTGCTGGGCAGGACTCACAGCACAGAAGGCTTCCACCTGCAAAAGGAGGGTGGGCTGGGCTTAGCCTGTCCAATACAGATCAGCCCACATTCAGCTTCATAGTTCGAGGCTGCAACACATCTCTTAAACATTTGTTTAAAAACAGCAATCTGTGTATTAACAGAAAGCTAGTGTTATTTTTCACCACAAGTAATTTTCCATACGTCTGTGGAAAGTATAGTTAATTCAGAAATATTATGATGGGGACCAGAAGATGGTGTAATGTTTACGTTGCTGGACTCAGTAGTTGACTGCAGTTCGAGTCCTGGACCCAATGGCTTAAAACTCACTCCAGATTGGGACTAGCAGTTGGCATAATGGCTATGTCACTGAACTTCCATGTAGTCAACTGTGGTTTGAGTCCCAGACCTGGTGGCTTAAACTCACGCCGGGCACGTGTGTGTGCGTGCCCAAGATCCCAAGAGGAGAATGGAGGAGAAGGGATTGAGGTGTGGCCATTCCCCCAGGAGATTTCTCACTTTCTGTCTCTGTCTCTGCTTTCTGGTGAGTGCACACACACTATTGCAAAAACCTCTCCCTGCCTCCCCAAAAAAAGGAAATAAAACCCTCACTCCGGGCATGTGTGCATTCGTGCCCAAAATCCTGAGAAGAGAAAGGAAGAGAAGGGATTGTGGTATGGCCATACCCCCACTGGGTGATCTCTTGCCTTCTGTCTCTCTAGTGCTCTATAGCAAAAATCTCTCTTAAAAAAAAAAAAGAAAAGAAATATTATGATATACTACTAAACATGAAGATGTAGAATACAGAATGTGAAAACATGGAAACCATGAACATCAATAAACAGAGCCTAGATAAATACTGAAGTCCACCTTTAATGCATGCTTGTCAGTAAAAGCAGACACACCACCCCCAGGCCCCTCACCTTTGGAACACACAAAGCACCAGCTCACATTGACGTGGGCATGATGCCTTTTCCCCTTCCGAGCCGTGAAATGGCCTGTGCAGATGATACTGTTGGATGCGATGACCGAGCATCCTGCTGCCAGACAAGCGTCCCCTCCATGATAGGCAACGGGGCAGCGGACACACCGCATCATTTTACCTGAAGGCAAAGATACACACTGAGAAACCCCTCACGCTGAAGGCTTCAATTACATTAAAGAGGGCAACCAGAAATTACAAAGCCTCCATAAGTTTGGAAAGCTGATACTGAAAGAAACTCAAGGTATTTGATGAAATACCTTTCATCAAGGCAAAGATGACTCAAAACCCTGAGAAAATGGTCAAGCATCTAAAATGACTATTCTGGAGGGAAGCTGGAAGGGGAATCAAGGGAAAACAAAGAAAAACAAAAACACGTAACAAGAACAAAAGTGGAACATTATCTGTTAATGATGATGTGTATGGTAATATCTTGGACTAGACTAATATATAACGTATTCATGCTGGCAAGATTCATTTTGTATGCTACAAAGATGTATAGTGATTAAATGTGAAAAGAAAAACAATAAGAAAATAAAAGAAAGAAAAAATAAATAAAATGTTATATTCTAAAATAAGGTAAGCCAGCATTTCTCAGCCTGGACATGCTAACATTTGAGGCATGTGGACATTTTGTGCACTGTCTAATATTTAGCAGCACCCCAATCCTCTAGGTACCTGGAGCATGTCCCCAAAAAGTTTCCAGACATTGCCAGATGTCCTGTGAAGGACAGAATCACTCCTAGTACAAACCACTGATGTCAAGAAGTACATGCAACCTGGGAACCAGCAGTTAGCGTAATGGCTATGTCGCTGGACTCCCACGTAGTCGACCGCGGTT